CTTTCCCCCTCCTTTTGTGTCCCCCTGTTTGGGGCAGCCTGGTGCCTGTCCCTGGGGAGGGGAGGAAGAGGTGTTCACTGAATGGATGACCGAGCCAGTCCCCCGTGATGTGCAGATAAACCAGGGTCCTCCTTGTCCTCCCTCCTTGGCGCTTGTCCTCAGCCCATGTGGGATCCCCTCCCCTCCTCCCAGCCCTCCTGGCAGCCTGTCTGTGACGATTCATTTCCTGCCCCAGAGTCCCTCCTGCAGAGGAAACTTCTGGAAGCTGCCAGGGGTCTCCTCGCTAGGTGCCCGGGGTGCTGTTGCCTCCAGTGAGCACCTGCTGGGGGGAGAAGGAGGGCCAGGCCCCCCAGAAGAGGAAAGGGGAGGTGTGTGTACCGCCCCTTCCCCCAGAGCCCTGCCTCTGGCCACCCAGGTCCCTGGCGCTGCCCAGTTGCTGCAGCAATGGTCCCGGTGGCCGCCCCCACCCTGCGGCTGACGACAGTTCCTGGGGTGAACCGTGGACACTGTCCCACTGATGGACGACCCCTGCGCCACCCGCACACCCCGTCTGATCTTAACCTCTGTTATGGAAAACGACAAAAAAGTGCAAAAAGCAGGAAAACCCACCCAATTCCCACAGCAGTGCCGGCAGTCGAACACATTTCCTCCCCGAGGAACCCCTGCAGTATACACAACATCGTTCCCCGCTTCCCCTGCCCCCCTCGATTTCACTGGGACCGTTCCCCAGGCCATGACTGTCTTCCGCCCCAGGTACTGAAGGTACCGAGTCGTAATTTGCTTGACAATTCCCATGTTGGATACTCAGGTGCTTCCAGGTTTTTACCCTTAGAAGCAATGCCTTGGGGAGCACTTTTGTATGTAAGGATTTGTCCACTTTTGGGAAATTCCCAGAAACCTCTGTCTTTGCTGTACGTTGGAGTCACGTCTAAAGTCCGAGGCAGGTCACCCTGGGCGGTCGGTCCGAGGTGGGCTTTCTGGGGGAGAGCACCCCCTGTCCATCAGGGAACCCACGTCCGGGAGCCAGAACACTGGGGCTTTTTGGTCTTGTTTTTCCCACAGCAAAGCGTTGATCAGCATCGGCCTGAGGCGGGTAGAAATGTGCCAGTTATGTTAGTGAGGCCACAGGTTAAAATGTACGAGGCAGCTGCATCCCAAAGACGCTCGTTTAGAAAAGATGTTGATTTAGAGAGAAACCTAGATTTGCAGGAATGTTGCACTAACAGTGCCTGGGTTCCCCCTGCACCCCGTACCCCCTTCCCTAACTGCAAACATATGCACAGCCCCGTGCTCACGCCCAGGTGAACTCGGTTACTAATCAATGCCGGGGCCTTGCTCAGGGGCTCCCCATTGTCCCGCGACCGTTGGTTTGTGAGTCAGGACCCTGCACCCAGGAAAGGCTGTCTTGTAAAAAAAGGGGAGTTGAGAGGGGCTCAGCAGACCCCCCTTTTAAAAAGAAACCTCTTCATGGAGGTCCGACCGACACCAAAAGCTGTCGGTATTCGAGGTAGGAACTGGATGAGGTTGTGAGACGCGTCAGCACCGTGAAGCCCCGCCGAATACGCCATGAGCGCGTCCATCACCCCACAGGTTTCCGCCCGCCCACTGTTATTATTTTCATGTGTGTGCGATAATGCTGCATGAGAGATCTACCCTCTTAGCAAACGGGTGCGTGTACAATGCAGTATTGTTAACTCCCTGCGCTATGCCGTGGGGGAGGCTAGGATTTACCCCAGAGAAGGGTCACAGTTGAGAAACCCCCTCACCTCCTTCTCCAGGTAAACTCCCCCCTCCTTCCCTCTGCAGGGCCAGCAGGGCAGACCAGACCCCCCACCACCCAGCGGGGAGGCGAGCAGAGCATCCCCGGGTACCGCCTCCCTCCTCCCCACGCCGCCCCTGGGAAGGAGTCGTGTAGTGAAAATCAGGTCAGGGCTCGATCTGCCCCGGCATGTCTCCCGTGGGGCAGACGGACGGATGACACCGGGTGTGCGTGAGAGC